CAATGGTTGAAAATTCTTTTTCTTTTGCTAATGAACTTATTCGTGAGCGTAAAATAATAGAGTCGTTATTGGGTGATGATAAAGAACAAGACTACCTCCATGTTCGTTCTATTAATTCTAAATTTTTAGCGGAGGAAGCAGAAGGTTGTGGTGTATCTTCATCTTTTTCTTTTAATTTTTCTTTTTACCTTGAGTTATCTTTGTGTGCTCCTAATCTTTTCTATGTAAGGATTACTGTGCATGCAATTGAGCCCTATATAGTGCTTAATGAAATGTTTGCAGGAGCGTATGATAAGTTACTCAAGGCGTTAAATTCTTCTGATGGAAGGAGAATGGTCAAGCTTAATACCTTGATAAACTAGCGCTTTGCGGGAGGCAACCCGTATTTCATTATTTTTATTTTAGTCTTTTCTAATTTTTGTGTGTTTTCATTTTTCTTTGGTTCTTAGAGAGGTAAGGAGAGTACATCTTATGCTTGTGGGAATTCTCTTGGTGCAGATTTTGATCTAAAAGGCTGATTTAAAAGGAGAAGAATTCGCTGGACTGCGTTCGAGTTCGATCAGGAAGAGCTCGCCCGATCGGGCGCGCGTATGGATCAGCAAAACTGCTCAATTTCGACAGGCCATAACTTTCTGGTTAATTATCGGATTTTTGCGTGTGACCTATAGTTGGAAAGATCTTTAAGTCTACTTTCCAATGCAATTAGAATCACTGCATTATCTTTTATACATCAAAAGTTATGATCAAAACAGTGCACATGACTCAATTTTATTCTTTTTCCCACTAACACTTTGTTTCGTTTTTGCTCAATTTTGTTCCAAAGAGATGCATTGCAATCCTCGAGGCTTTGGTGACATTATTTTGGGTGATGATGAAGATGAGGTTTGACTACAAGTTTCCCTTTAAGACAATGAGGACATTGTCTGATTTAGCTTGGGGGGAAGTTCTTGTGTACACAAGGTACATCTTTCACTCTCTCTTTCTACTTTAGTGTGTTTTCACTAGCAGTAAGGTTTAATGCTTTCTTCTGGAAAAAGAAATGAAAAATAAAAGAATCATGATAATGAACGGCCAACGGCCATTGAACTACTTCCCTGTGCCCCTATCCTTTATGCCAAAAGGTTTTGATTTATTTTCGATTGAAAGACTTGCATAGTGGACTAAAAGATCATGATTTGACCTTGAATTTGTTGATCCCTAGTAGGAGTCAAGGTTATTTAACTATGTATGATTCAGGAGCTTGACTGTGTTAACCGTGAGGCTTGAGCCTTATATATTCATTCTTGCGTGTGTTTAGTTCCTGGTGTAGCATTGATCTTAGTTTTGACTTTAGACTCTTAGTAGTGTGTCGTAATGCATTGCACGTGCACATTGAAATGACGAAGGCCATGTTCATTAGGTAGCCTCCAGACAAAATTAGAACATCAGTTCCCTTCTTGCTTACCCATGTTGTAGCTTGACTATATTTTTCATAAACTCCACAAAAATTACCCCTTGGCCCCAATTTGATTACTTTTCCCAAGTCTAGCTTGGGGGAGCTATTTTATGCGGTATTTTTGCGTGATTTTGTTTCAAGTTGCAATTGATGCGAAAATATTGAAAAGAAAAGGAAGAAGAAGAGAAAAAGTGAGAAAAGGAGGTTTGATTGAATTACTTGAAAAAAAAGTAACATTTCTTGAAAAAGAAAGAGAGAAATAAAGAAAAGAAAGAAAAATATTTGGAAAAAGTTTCAAATGAAAAATTTGTTGGATTGAAATAAAAAAAATAAAAAATAAAAAATAAAAAAAATAAAGAAATGAAGCAAACATGTAAAACAAGGTTGAAGAGTTGAAAATGTAGGTGGATGAGATGATGGTTGTGTTTTCATTGTAATTGGGTTTGTGTTTCATTGATCGAAGTTGATGAATCGAGGTGTGACTCATCGCATTTGATAGTTCCCCCCGGTTAGACTATTATAGCTCTCATTCCCCAAATTATTGTCCTACCCATTCTTATTCCCGACCTACGTTACAAGCTTCACAAAGTCCTTCCGATCTTCGTGCATAGCATTGCGTTCATGTGAATTGAGTCTTTTGTCAAAATGCTGGAGTATATGTTGCATTTCAAGTCGACATTGACTAGGTTGAGCGTTATTATAACCCTCTAAACACACGAGTGTTGTGAGATGGGGGGATTGCATTGTTGGTGGGGATGGTGAGAGATCGAGCTCATTTTTAGCTCGCCACATAAAAAGTGTGTTGAGTGACCACCGATGTGAGATACTCTAGTCTTCGATTCTTGAATTATAAATGGTTGGTCTCATTTGACGATTAATTAGGTGGATCGACGGTTTGAGTAATTTGATTGGTTGATTAGGATGCATGCTCGTTTGATTTCGATTTTGAATCCTTGTTTGATTTTGCATTATGGGGTGAAGCATGTTGTTTGGTTGTTGATGGTTGTTGATTGTCTTGCTTGAGGACAAGCAAGAGTTTAGCTTGGGGGAATTTGATAGGTCCTATTTTGCACATGTTTTAGGTGGGTATCTAAGCTCATTTGATTACAAAATTAGAGATCTTTAGTGCAAATTTGCATTATTTGCTTAAGTTGTGCTCTACTACTCCTCGTTTGTGTGTTTTGATGAATTTCAGGTGATTTATATGCAAATGGAGTATGGTTGGCTAATCTTGAGTATAATAATCATGGAGTATGAAAACATATTGCTTAAGAATATCAAAACATGTGTTCAAGACGAACTTGAGTGAAAATGAAGCAAAACGTTGATGAAATACTTGATAAATATGACACCTGTTCACTATTATGCTCATAACTTTTGATATACAAATTATAATGGAGCGATTCAAATTGCATTGGAAAGTAGACTTGAAGACCTTTCCAACGATATATTACACGCCTCAAACGGAGCTCCGGATATGAAGTTATGACTAATTTAAGATGAGTTAAATACAAACTATTTGCTGCAGCCTCTACGTGCCCGATCGGGCATGGTCCGCCCGGTTGGACCGGGCACATAGGAGTTAGATGATTTTTGGTATTTTCGAAGGTAGCAAGCAATTTATGAAGACCGCCCCACGCGCCCGATCGGGCAAGGTCCGCTCGGTTGGACCGGGCACGTGGTGGAAGAAGTGCTACGAAGGAAAGCAACTCCGTACTCTCACCGCTCGATCGGGAGGTGCTTGCCCGGTTGGACCGGGCACTGTTATGTGCAGCTCCGACTTATTATTTTATCTTTTTTAGGTCATTAAGGGTATAAATACCCCTTGTAATCTTCTTTAGAAAAGAAGTTTTAATTTTTCCTTTAGTCCTCTTTCTCTCTCTAGAGTTCTAGTTTTATATTTTGAAGCAATTGTAATTCTTTCCATTAGATTTGAGCATTGATCTTCAACAATTTAATTCCTTTCAATTGAAGAATCTTTGGTATTTATTTCTATTTCATTTTTTTTCAATTATTTTTGCTTTTCAATTATGTTTTCTATAATTATGATTGCTATTGTTTATTTCATTATGAGTGAGTAGATTTCCTATTCCAAGATCTAGGGTAGCCCAATTATGATTGATGCATGAATTAAAACTTTAAATTCTCTAATGACTTTTACAATTGCTATGCTAATTTGATTGTGATTATGCCAATACTAGGTTAGACGTAATCTTAGTATTGTGATTATTCCATTGTTTCTATCACAACGAGAGTTGGATTTAAACGGATTTGAGTAGATCAATTTAGGGTTTGATTTTCAACATGAGAATAGTTGGGTTGATGATTGGGAAGTGATAGTATTGTGTTTAATGTCTCTAATATGCATGATACCATGAGAATAGGCTTGATTGTATGTCAGAGAAGCCATTGATACTCGAGAGAGGTCCTTGGTATTGATTAGGATTTACTTTTCCCCATTCAATTAGAATTGTATGTTAGGGGTAGAAATATAATTGCATCATTCGTAATTGTGGTGATACTTGATCTTGGATGTTTTAATTATTTGATTTCTTCATATTCTTTAGTTTATTTTCGAATTTTCCATACATTAGTTCTTTAGTTAATCGATCATTGTTGAATTCTGCTTAGTAATTACTTGAGTCTAAATAGTTATTGGTGAACCATAGTCTCTTGGGATTCGACCCTTATTTGCCAGTCTACATAGTAGCGGTTAATTAGGTTATTTTTGCTAGGTGTGCGACCGCCTACTAGGTATTTAATACCTAGGATCATATATCTAAATAATACCAATATGTTCATTGTAATAAAATGCTCTTTTTATTTGTCCAGGGACCAGGCCAACTAGCACTAGCTGCACCTAGGACCTAGGTATTCCAAACTCATAATCGGGGTAATTAAAACATTTTGTACAGCAATAAAAGGTGATGAGACCACATTACGTCACTTTAAATTTTAATATTTAGTGTGTATTGTACCACTTCAATCAGTTTAGTACATTATAAACATTTATAATACTTGTAAAAAAAACATTTATAATACCATTACACAATCAATGGTTAATTTCACAACCTAATGGTAAAAATATATGCTTCAAATGTATACCATTATAGTCATCTTTGATACCATTATAATTATTTATAGTACCATTTTACTATTAATGGTACAATTCACAACTCAGTGGTACCAACGTCGTTTCCTTTTTATGAGTTCCTCTATTTACAATATTGTCATATTTTATAACTAACAATACATAGTAACATTGCATTATTACTACTTCCTCTAGCTTTATCAGAGCCTGTTTAACCCGTGATAGGGAGACTTTCTAGTAGTATTTCTTGTGATAGGAAGACTTCTAGATTCTAATGATTCTTCTTGTGATAGAGGGATTATTAATCCGTGTACCTTACTTTATAAAATAAATAAATAAAACCAGAGCCCTTTTAATAAATTGCGTAACAAGGGAAAAGAAAATGTCCTAATTGATGGATCTTATCAAATTATATCTACTAGTAAATTGATTAAAAATTACAAGCCAAGGTGTGTTACAAAAAAGACACCAAAATTCACAAATATTAGACACGTTTAATAATATGAACGTGTCAATACCATGTTATGACTGCCACTTCCTTCTTCTACGTGCCTCTTACAATTTTCTCCCCATAAATAGGTAAATAACAGAACTTAGAAATGCTTCCTTCTACAATTTGTGTTTATAATTATTTTTCATTAAAAAGAAAAAAAAAAAAAAAAAAAAACATATTTACATACAATGTTGATGAAATATTGGAGTTCTGCTGCAAGAAGTGTCATCAATAATAATGTGTCCAAAGTTGGTTATCAAAATGATATTATCAACATGCTAACGGCTACTAGCTTCTCCTCTATTAACCATAATCCTCAGGCAAGTTTTACCTCTTCTCTATTATTACAACAATTAACTTTACTCAATTACCGTTTTTAATTTTACTATATACTCGCTTTGCGCCGTCATGATTTAATTTAGGCGTGTTCTCCTCGAGTTATTTTGATTTATTATCGACGAAATTAGTGTGGCTCAAATATGAATAGAATTAACATAGAGTATAGTTTTAAAAATATTAAAAACCAGGATAAGTTTAAGCTAGCTTAATATGCTCAATTAAGTTCAGATATATGATCATTTAATTTTATGTTGCTAATGAATTAAAAACTAATTAAGATTGTTTATATGATGATAGAACATTCATAGCAACAAAGTAGATGTACCATTTGCAACAGCCGAGCCTAAAATCGTCCCAAGGCAAACATCCGTAGAAGATCCCTACGATGAAACTCACAACAACCTCAACTTCCACCCCAATCACAACCACCATGTCCACAAGAACGACAAAGCGGCTAGAAGGACAACCGAAGACACGACCAATTATGTCGCGGACAAAGCCAAGAGCGGAACCAGGAGCGCTGTCGAAACCACCTTCGTTGTGGGGGAGAAACTCGCGGAAGGAATGGAACAAACATTCGGATGCGTCAAGGACACTACCAAGAAGGTTAAAGATACGGTATTAGGCAAATGCGACGAAGACGGTGATAACAAAGACCATGATAATAGTCATGGCAAAGTTGACAAACATGTTGAAGATTTGAGAAGGAAGGCAGGAGGATATGATTTGAGACGAGGTTCTCACTAATTTTTAGCTTTACTTTACTTTTTTGAACAAAGCTTTACTTTACTTTGTATGAACGATAACGCCCATTTTCTGGGGTGTATGTTGCAAGTTGAGTGAATGTTGTTGTATTACATAATTCCAAGAACACAAACTTTTAAACTACTTGTTAGCATAATTACATCATCATATATGTAATAAATAATAATTACACCATATATATATATATAACAAAAGTGCGTCTTGTAATATTGAACAAGAGATATGTTTTTTTCAATCAAATATCAATAGACATGTATAAAGGTGTGAGAGTGAGTATATGCTCATCCTAACAATTTCACATAATAGAGGTTTAGAGACACTTATGAGGGCGCCTCCATTACTCACTAGAGAAACAATTTTGTTTCTCACAGTGGTAGTTTTGTAAATAAAATGTACCACTTTAGTCACGGCGGTACATTTTATTTACGAAATGGATGATAAAATTGTATCACTTTGGTCACGGTGGTACATTTTATTTACGAAATTGCCACTGTGAGTTTCTCACAGTGAGTAATAGAGAATAAATGTCCATAGCTAGATTCCTTTATAGAAAAGAGGGTTTTTGTTTTTTTTTTTTTTTTGAAAAAGGGAAATCATAATACTTTATCAATCAAACCACAAAGAGTTCAAGGAAGCAATTATAGCAGCTCCAAAATAAAAAATAAAAATAAATAAAAAAATAACCATACGGGTGCAAATAAGAAATTTGTTCTACTTCAATCCAACAAAAGCCATTACATAAAAGAAAAGGCAAGGTTTTCAGTACTGTGAGCTTAGATGCAGCTTTCCACCATATCATTTTCATAAGCATTCTTTAGCTTCTCATTAATTGCCAGTTTCATCCCTACTTTTATTGCTAAGAGCTCAGCCTCTGCCGGGTTTCTAGCCTTGATTTTCCACGAACCACCTATTCCCTTTGAGAATTCGAGACCACAAAACCTTAGAATTAATGCAATCTCTAAAAATGTGAAGGCGAGTTTCATTTTCAAGCTCGCAACGGGTGCAAATGGGATTAAAATCTGCAATTTTTTGTTTAAGGGTTGAGGCAGTAGGAAGTATTTGTTGGCAAACATTTTATACTTATAAGGAGAGTTGATGCGCCAAATGGAGTTCCATTTGATAGGAATGAAGGAAGGATGTAAGGTGAAGTTGGAGCCTAGCCTATAAGCACTCTTAATAGTGAACTCACCATCTTTTTCTTTTCCCCAGCAAATGGAGTTATTGATAGACGCAATAGAAGGCAAAGGAATGCACTCTATAAGAGTACAAATAAATCTGGAATGATGTGTTTGACCCTTCTTAGGTCCCATTTACCCTCTCTAATAATGTTACTCACTCTCCAATGAGCAATGGAGTCTGGAATGGGTCTATCTATCACAAGATAACGAGGCTTTTCCCCAACCCAATGGTGGTACCAAAGGCAAATATCGTCCCCATTACCCATCCTATAAGATATTCCTTGAAGAAGAAGGTCCTTGCCCTTTAGAATATCCTTCCAAAGGGGAGAGTCGGATTGATTAGGGAAGCTATTTAAGGAGGTTGAGTTTTTGAAATATCGGGCTTTAAGAATTTTCACCCAAAGCTTATTGGGATCAGTAAAAATTCTCCATCCTAATTTTGCCATAAAAGAGATATTCCATTGCCTTAAGTTTCGGATACCTAGACCTCCCATACTCAAAGGTAACCAAATTTTATCCCAACTAGTTCTAGCAAGATAGTGAGATCTATCCACCTTGTTCCAAAGAAACCTTCTACAACTTCTTTCTAGCTCATCAAGGATTGCACAAGGAATAAGGGTGGTTTGTATAGCATAAAGAGGATAGGAATTTAGCACCAATTTGATTAAGGTATTCCTACCCGCCATATTAAGGAACTTGGCTTGCCATCCCTTTATTCTACTCTAGTCTTAGTGAGAAGATCCATATAATCTGATTTTCTAAACCTATTAGGACGTATATATATTGATACCCAAATACTTGCCAAACGAAGGAGAACCCTTAATGTTCGAGGCGTTGAGGATAGCTAGTTTGAGATAGAGACACATTTTAGGAGGAAAGATAACTTTGGACTTGGCTTGACTTATGAAAAGCCCCGATTTGTTACCAAACTCCAATAGGGTATCTTTAATGACTTCAACATTTTCTATCGAAGCTTTATAAAATAGGAAAACGTCATCCGCATAAAATAGATGAGAGAGGCTAACCTCATCACCTATTTTAATAGGACTCCAAAGTCCTTGCCCTACCTTTCGCTCAATCATGAGAGAAAGTCTCCCAAGACAAAGGACAAAGATATAAAAGGAGAGAGGATCTCCTTGTGGAATTCCTCTTGAAGGAGTGAAACTTTCCGTAATATTGCCATTCCAAAGAATGTAAATGGAAGGAGTCGTGATGCAACTTAAGATGAGTTTGACAAGAGTTCCTGGAAAATTCATTCCCAACAAAGTTTCCCTAATAAACCCCCACTCTAAACTATCATAAGATATCAATTTTGAAGGCCATTAACTTCCTCTTACTAGATTTTTTAAAAAGATGAGCAACCTCTTTAATAACTAACACATTCTCATCAATAGTTCTACCCTCTACAAAGCTAGATTGGACAGGTAGGATTGACAAGTTCCCCCAACACCGGTTTTATTCTATTGAAAATAATTTTGGTGATCAATTTATAAATGGAATTACATAGCCCTATTGGTCTAAATTCATTCATGTTGGCAGGATGCGCATTTTCAGGGATTAGGGCTATATAGGACTCATTTATATCTTGAGGAATTTTTCCGGATTCAAAACAGGAGACAATCAAGGAGGTAATAGAAGCTTTGACAGTATCCCAATATTTTTTGAAGAATATTGGTTGAATACCGTCAGGTCCTGGGCTCTTCATAGAAGCCATGGCTTTTAGAGCTCCCAAGATTTCTATTTCCGACACTTTGCTACACAAAAGATGATGATCAGTATCACTAATAACCGAATTAGGCTGGAAATTAACGCACCTAGGTTGCGACATCTGTTTCGAGGAGAAAATATTTTTAAAGTAAGCCACACAAATTAAGCTATGTTTAGAGCTAATGAAATTGTTATTCCCCATTCCCCACGTATGATTAAAGAAATCTTTAAAATAGGGTTTTCTATCCAAGCTTCTTTACACCTAAAAGGGTGATTACCCCTAATTTTAATGGGATTAGAGTCTACCAAAATTGGACAATGATCTGAGTAAGTTCTAGGTAGATGAAATAGCTGAGTGTTTGGATAGTTCTCCATCCACTTTGCATTTGCCAGAGCTTTGTCAAGTCGTTCCCTTATCAAGTTTAAGCCATCTTGCCCATTATTCCATGTGAACATCGGGCCATTGAAATTTAGGTCAATGAGACCCTCCTCTTCTATCCATTCAGCCTACATTTGGCCCTGATTATTAGCAATCGGACGCCCTCCAACTTTTTCCGACTGTCGAGTTATTTCGTTCATGTCACCAACCACTAGCCGAGGGGTTATCGGGAGAGAACTAATACGGCATGAAAAACATGCGGAGGTTCAGTGACAAAGTCCACCAAGCAGGCCGGATTTTTCCACATCACCCAAATTCCTCCTTTTAGCCCATCAGCTTGGATTGTTCTGTGATCTTCAAACCCTAATCTCTTAAAAGTGTCACTAGCACACTTTTTGGTAGCTTTAGTTTCCAGCATAATTAATACTTCTGGGTGATGAGTATTAATCACTTCTCTAGCATGAGGGATGAAATCCTTGCTAGCTGCACCACGTACATTCCATAATATAATCTTCATATCAACCGATGGAATTGTAATGGTTGGAAAAATTCCAAGTCTACTCGCTCTTTCGTTCATTTGTGGTTGGATGTTCACCCAATCCTTCCATAGGTCCGGGGGCTTTTTGGTGGAGGTTCGACCGGGAGAAGAGCCGCTCCGTAATCTGATCGAGTTTAATCATACAAATCGATCATTCCCAATAAAATATTCAATAATAATTAATTTATGTGTCTCAATAAAAAAACGCATTTAAATAAGATAAGTAAATTATAATATAGAAATCAACATTTTTTAAAGGTGGTGTGATTAGATAAGCAATAAAATGGATAAGAACTTTTACAAAATTTACAACTGCACAAGTGTACAAAACCATAGTTACTTAAGCCCATGTGGACATCATGAATCATAGCCCAATCGAAAATCAGTTATTAGCCCAAATGAAATGCATCTAAGGCATAGTTGACCCAATAGGATCAAGAATATGTACAATGAAACCACACCTATAATTTGTACATCAATCACGTAGGTTTCTTTGATGCAAACGAGCTACCTATGATTCATTAAGTCGACAAATATCTTAATATCATACATTCATACTAGTTACAATACTTACAAAAAAGTAGACCCGCGTTTGGATAGAATATTCTGCCTAGAATTCAGACTCGGCAATCCAAAAAACTCATTTTTAGTTAAAATTTTGGGTAGAAAAGTCATTTTTTTTACGAAATAGTGGGTTTGGACATAACTTTGGCCCGATCCGAAGCCTTGGTCTAAAAATAGGTTGCTTTTTGGGCAAAACTCGACCCGGCCCAGGATCATCTCTACATAAAAAATGACATAATGGACTAAAGGACTCGTCAAATAAGGAATGTAATAGGCTATTATATTTCAATAAGGTCAAAACGGAGACATTTATATATTTTACATTTTACTGTGTAGAACAAGACGTAGAGTTGTTCAATATAGCTCACCATGATAATAATCAAACTAGTCTTAAAAATACGACAAATAAGATTTTAAGACAAAGAGATTCACAAACATTAGCTCGATCGTGCGAATTAATTAAAGGAAAATGGATACAATGGATACTATATACGAGTCATCAAACTATTCACATGGTTCACCATTACATGGGTCTAATTAGCCTAGTTCATTTAGCTTGCATACAAACACGTAGGCCTATTGTATCATGCATGACTTAACTTAGACTTGTATAACAGGATCCAATTGTGAAACTTGGAAGGTTCAATGATACAAATATTCACTCAGTCACTACATGTTTTTAATGAAAGGTAGGAAATAAGGAATCTATGTTGGAATCTTGGCCTTATTGACTCAGATAAATTGAATGGATACACCAAAGAGTTGTCATTTTCTATTGGATAAGAAGAGTACAAATGCATATGACATACTTATATATATTGTGCTTAA